AATTGGTGGGTCTGTGGAAGTGGTTGTGGGTTCTGATACCCAAAACAGAACCCTGGTGAATGGAACCAATGACGGTCTTCTGGTCGCTTTTTTAGTTTTGACCCGCGACCAGCATGGGCCAACACATACTGAATCAACTGAAATTCATCAAACGGCCGCCTTTAGGTGTCGGCCTTTTTGGAGAAAACAAAAAAATGCTGTCTTGCAAAACAGCTCTGATTACCAAGCCATGCCTATTGGAGAGCCCGTTGGAACCCATCGAAAGGTCCGTGTCTCAATCATTGGGATCGGCCCCCCAAAACTGGTTGGTGTCTTTTTGCCGTCGCCTCACACACCAAAAGCGAACATCGGAGAATCATATCATATCCTTCGGAATCTATCGTAGCCCGGCCTTGACCTGGCAATACCTCTCACTTCCTTTCTGGAACCCTCCCTTTCGGCACGCGGGGATGTCCCGCGTCCCATGGAAATGGAAGGGAAAAGCGCGCCCGGGCCGACGCGGAATTCAATGCGTTCTCGGTGCTGCGTTTCAGACCCGCCACCATGGCAGCCACGTCCTGCAAAGGTTGGGCCAAACCCAGGAGTTGTCCGGAAGGAGATGCTGTTGAATTGAGGATTCTGTCGCTACCTGTCAATTATGAAGTGGTACGCCCGACACTGTGGTGGACACGATTTACGTCCACCTGCCAATCGCAAGCCTGTGGTGGTGCAAGCCGGCCATCGGGGGGAACAACCATCTGCTCGGCCTTCTGTCCCAAAGTCAAGCCGCCCGAAATGATGCTTCCCATGAAACCAGGACAATGGAAATAGACTTGGATGGTCCTCAACTCTAAACAAAAACATCAGCCACTGTGTCCTATCTTCAAGCACCCCTCCCTGCCAGGCCCCACGGTACTTTTCTTGGGTCTCCCTGCCCCTTCCCCCCTCCCCCCATTCCCTGTAGCGTTTTGTACGGGCACTCCTTTGGCACCTGCAGCTCATCCTCGCCCCCGAACAGGTTTCCTGGCCAGTTGAAGGCCAGGTGAAACCAGCCAAGCTGGTTTCAGTGTAAGGACTGGAACCCTTTTCAGTTGGTGTCCATTGTAATGGGGAGCCGGGATGTAGGTGAACTCCACGTTCTGCAACCTTTTGTTGGACTTACAAGAAACTGCGCGCATCCAAGGAACCCGAGATGGTGAGAGGGCTCTTAAAATAGGATGCGGAGCCCCGTCAAATTGTTGGTTCCCTGCTGGATCATGTAAGAGGGAGGGAGGGAGGGAGGGAGGGAGGGAGGGAGGGAGGGAGGGAGGGAGGAGGGAGGGAGGGAGGGAGGGAGGGAGGGAGGGAGGGAGGGAGGGAGGGAGGGAGGGACGGAGGCAGGGAGGGTGGGTGGGTGGGAGGGAGGGAGGGAGGGAGGGAGGGTGAGTGGGTGGGTGGGAGGGGAGGGAGGGAGGGAGCGAGCGAGCGAGCGGGAGAGGGAGGGAGGGAGAGGGAGGGAGAGGGAGGGAGGGAGGGAGGGAGGGAGGGAAGGAGGGAGGGAGGGAGGGAGGGAGGAGGGAGGAGGGAGGGAGGGTGTCTCTGGGTTTCGTGGGAATCGTCACTTTGGATGGGAACACCTCATTAACAAACTCCGGTTGATTCATCCGCCTTTGCTCGATCGCTCCGCTTTGTTTCCATCCAGTCCCCGACACTTGCCGCTTCGCCTAGGTTGAAATCGAATGCTGCCCGCTGCACCCGCGGTCGGCCTCCAGCGAACCACAAGCGAACCCGAATGCGGGGCTGCACCACAACACTCCCCTCCTGGCATCCTTTGGAAGCCCTCAAAAGGAGGAGTTGTCCTATTCTGCTTTCAAAAAACACCTTGCCACTTGCCGATTAAGCAGGAAGCGTCCTGGCCACGATCCGAAATGGGGGCATGTCCTGCTCTTCCCAACCCCCGCACACCGAGCTGGCACCCAGAAGGGAGGGTGGGACCATGGAACTGTCTCTTTCTGCAAACCGCGGTTACCGCGCCCCCTCTTGGTAACAAAGATCCACATCAAAGGAAACCAAAAAGTTCCAACATAAGCAAAAGGGTGCCGTCCTTCTGAACTACTCCGTGGCTTTGACTCCACTTGCCCATTCCCCCTTGATGGCCGTTTCAGCCCCGCGCCCGCCGAGAAACAGCTCGCCGGACCGCACCTGTCGGAAGACCGAGAGTCGGCAGAAGGAGATCCATCCGGCTGCAAGGTGTCACGCCTTTCTGGGATGAGCTCTTCTTCCAAAACAAAAAGAGCCCACAAACCCCGCAAACCCGGGGAAAAAAGGGAGGGGGAAAAGAAAAACGGAGCTGCGGATGGCCGACGACTGCAAGTTCTTCAGGAGTTACGTCCGGCCCCTCCTACGTTTTGTTTCCTGCATGCGATCAATTCTGTGCCGGTGTCGTCGAAGCCGCTTTGTTCCGCGGAACGACACTGTTGAGGCGTTCTTGTATAACTGCGGATTCCGAGCAATGCGTGGTGAACCTTTTGAAGCAGCAGGAAGATCCCAAGTTGAATGAACCCCCTTCCTTGGACGACACCTGTTGTTTTCTATTGAAAACATGATGCTTCTGACGGCCGCAACCTCAAAGTCAAGGCACCCTATGGATGCTGACCCGTGTGTACCTCATTAGAGAAAGAGAGAGAAAAACAAGATCCTGACCAAAAGCAGTCTGGTAATGACCTGTCAACATTGAGTGATGTGTTCTGACCATAGCACGACGCGACAGCACTTCAAGACTGCACTACAGAACCTCTCTTCGAGCTCACCAACACGGAATCTTCGGCACCTCTCGTGATTCCTCGCCCTCGTTGCCCCAACACTTGAACATGCTGGAACACAGTTCCAAACAAGCCTCCTTCTCGCCCCAAACCCTGGTCTGGTCGCTGGATTCAATTCTGCCCAGCCCTGCCCCACACCACAAGGTCTAGACATACACGACCACAAAACCAGGGGAAATACAGAAGGAAAAAAAACAGATACAGCCTGGACACCAGCAGGGCAGCCAGGAGCAGTGCGCACCTGCGCGAATGCGGCGCTTTGAATCGGTCCAGCTATGCCCTCAAGATACGTCTTCTGAGAGTGGGGATGTGAGGGATCTCAAAATTACGTTTGGATGTGTTTCAGTGCAACTGTTTGAGGATGTTGCTTTAATGAACCCAGCTCTCGTCCTGGTGTCTTACAAAAAAGAACCTAGCTCTAGAATGTGTTGGGAATGCTTTACTTGAAAACGCTAAGCGCCGCAAATATGTTTCTTCGATGGCAATGTGGCGCCTAATATGAGGACAAACTGCCAAAAGGCGGTTGTTCTTCTGACTGACTTGGTTTCAAACATTAGCTCTTGCAAGGGCCCTTTCTTTCAAAGGCAAGCTTCCTTTCGGCGCGGGAACATGCAGGGCGCGCAAAAAAAGAAACAAAAACAAAAACAAAAAAAAGTTATTGGGTCTTACCGACTCCATCTTGGGGAAAGCAGGGAAGCGAAGTTGCCTCTCACCGAAGCAGCTCTTAGCCGTAAGGCTCCAAGCCTCTTCCCGAGGCTAGGAGATGCCATCGGAGTTGTCCTCTCTGCTCCTAGGGCCCTGTGCTTTCCATGTCCGTCCCGCGTTTTATTGGGCACACGGAGATGTGAACTGGGACCACAGGAGCTCCTAGCGGCCGTTCAAAAAAAGATGTGAACCACTGGGGCCAAGGGTGTTCTTCTTGGGCTCCCCTTCTGTGAATTTTCCACCCCGACATCGCCTCCAGCGAGGTCCCGCACTTCGCGCCTGGAGTGCCACGGTCAGGTTTTTGCACCCGGAGAAGAGCCTCGTGTTTGTTTTTGTTGTTGTTGTTGTTGTTGTTTTTTCTGTGACGTCCATTGGTTTGGTACAACAGAAGACGCAAAACAGATGGCTTGATGCTTGTGTGAATGCAGGATTTGGGTCGACCAAGCAGATGCTCGTTTGAGCCTACAGCAGGAGGTTCGACATCCATCAACATCCCGGACTGCTGGGAAACTCAGGTTCCCATGGTTCCCCCAATCAGAAAAGGGCCGTTTGACCCGAAGCCACCAATGGGGCCAAATCGAGAAACCGAGCTTTCAGCACCCAGTGGAGGTGTCCGCGCTCACGGCTCATGAGCTCAGATTGCAACTTCCCCAAGGGCAACTTGCATCCATTGCTGAACATTCTGCAGTCCTTCACGCCCAAGTTCGAACCGGAATGCCCCTGCCTGTGCATCATCGCTAGACACCAGAAACATGAGCTCTCAACGTCCTGGTTGATTCATGGCATGCCGTGTGGAATCCATCATTTTTTGCGCAGCCTGATGTGCGGCATCCATGCATTCCATAGCTGCTGACATAAGAGTGGCCTTATTCCAAGTGTCCCAGTGTGCGCACAAAAGTTTCTTTCTGTCACAAGTACTCAACGCAAAACGATTGGTACAGAAGCGCAATTGCCAAAACCATATGGGCAACACTGGTACATATACACCCGGTTTTGTTTTGCAGCCGTCAAGAACAAAATGTGTTTGATGCACTGACAGTTTTGCACCACGTGGCAAGTATGCATTGGTCGCGCGTGTTTCCTTGATGAATCTTCCTTGTCGCACGTGTTTGCAAGAAGGGTCAGCTAAAAACAGAAACGTCAAACCCGGAGTGGAATATCTAATTTGCCGTGTCCTTCACCAAATATCTGCCGCCTCATGCGCAATGTCTACAAAGTCATTCGGCACGTTTATCATCCCAGAATGATTCGTTGGCGCCCCAGTCCACCCCAAACTTACTCGAAACTAAGAGCAGCTATCCAAATGCCCACTGCCACATAAACGTAACCAGAATTGCAAGTCCGCAAAAAAATTGACGACAAGTGCCCCGCAAGCATAATGGCAAGTTGATGCAGGCAAAGCAACTCTCGAACCTTGGCAGGTGAAGTAGCTCTCGGAAAGCTGGAGGCGAAGTTGGCAGGTGAAGTAACTCTCAAAAAATGTGCGGAAAAGTTGGCAAGTGAAAACGTTGGCACGAAAAGTTGGCAGGTGAAGTAACTCTCAAAAAGTTGGAATGAAAAGTTGGCAGGCGAAGAAACTCTCGAAAAGTTGGCACGAGAAGTTGGCAGCTGATCAAGAGAAGTTGGCAGGAAGTCATTCTCGAAAAGTTGGCATGCAAATTTGACAAATGAGGAGTTGGCATGAGAAGTTGGCAAATGAAGTAACTCTCGAAAAGTTGGCTGGCGAATTTGGCAAATAAAGTGACTTTCTAAAAGTTGGCATGATAAGTTGGCAAGTGAAGTTTCGAATAGTTGGCTGGCGTAGTTGGCAAGTAAAGTAACTCTCGAAAAGTTGGCAAGTGAAGTAATTCTCAAAAAGTTGGCATGAGAATTTGACAAGTGACATAGTTATTGAAAAATTGGCATGACAAGTTGGTAGGTGACCTCATTCTCGAAAAGTGGGCATGAAAAGTTGGCAGGCGAAGTAACTCCCCAAAAATTGGCAAGCGAAAGATGGCAAGCTCGAAAAGTTGGCAAGATAAGTTGGCAACATAAGTTGGCAAGAAAAGTAATTGTCATTGTCGAAAGTTGGCATAATAATTTGACAGGCAAAGTAATGAAAATTTGGAATGATATGTTGGCAGGTGAAGAAACGTTCGAAAACGTTGCATGAGAAGTTGGAAAGTGAAGTAACTTTCAAAAAGTTGGCAAGTGAAGTAACATCGAAAAACAAAATCACATGATAAGTAATTCTCGGTTGAGACCTGTTGCACTGCTCCCAGCTTGAACCCAAACAACCCTTACAAAAGGAAAGAAAAGCTTCTGGGGCGGTGCACCTGGAACAGGGGGGCATGTTCACCTCGTTTAAAAGGCCAAGGCCCTGTTCCAGTGTTTTTTCCCCGAACTCGCCGACAGCATGATCGCCGGTCGATATAAAGGAACCTGGGCAAGGAGAGGTGCTTTTTGGAAGCGGTGTAAATTAATAATTCGAAACATGCAAGGCCATGCACAAAGCCAGGGTACACATCACCGAGGTGAGCTGCCACATCCTAAGAAGGCGACAAGAAAATGACGACCCAGGGGGTCATTTCCTTAGCAAAACCAGTACAAGCAAAAGAGAAGGAGGGTGAAACAGGGACCAAGTGCCAGAGGCACCAGTCCAGGTTGACTGCAAAATCGAGAGCCGGAACAACTGTACAGCGCTCAAAGGCCTGTGAAAACTAGGCCCTACGCCTGGAGACATCTCAAATGTCGAACACCAATCTGCCTTTCTCGCAAGCCAAAACGCCTGGTGCTCGAAACTCGTGTAAGGCCAGCATCACGGTTAGGGAATGGGATCCCTGTGCATAGCAAGGAAAGGCATCGTCCGGCAGGTCTACCGAGAACTGCCACACATACAACAGGCTGTGCAACGCAGAACGAAAATCGCCACTGTTCGTTTGGCAATAAAGTCCTTCCGCAAGTCACCAAGTACCACCGCATAGTTCCCCAGGAGCGCTACACCGCGAGAGAAAAAGTGGTTTGCCACAGCAAAAATGATCCAGAAAGGAAAGAAAAAGGGGGTGGTAATCCAAGTTCAGCATGGGAAATCAAAATTAGCGCCACAAAAAAGAATGCAAGGTGCGTAACCAACATAAGCCCAGTGAGGCACAATAGCTGTCGTCAGGCACCACCCTGAAAAAATCCCGGGAACGTCCCGCAGTACGTCAGTGGAAAGTCTATGAAATAAAAAGTCTCGCAAGCGTCAGCCGACCCGTCGGGCAACTGCTGTACCAGGGACCTGCATCCGCCACCAATGCGCGGCCCGCTCATAATCGACGCAACAAAGCTGACACCACAAAGCAGCAATAAACTGTAACGATCTCCACGTCAAGGAAAAAGTGAGAGGAGGCTCACGCCACACCATCCCAGCAGTGCCAAGACTGAAAAACCAGGACGCAGCGGCCGTAGGCAGATGAAAGCCGACGACCCTCTTTCTTTAGAGGGGGTTTCCCAAATGGATTCTATTCTACCTGAGAGGCTCCTGGCACTCGTCCGTCCAGGAAACGACCTTGTCCTGCGAAGGATTCAAATTCTAAAACGCTGCGTGCAGGCGTGTGGCTGCAAAATAATGACCCCTAGATATGCGGTTTGGCAAAATGCCCAGCAGCTGCGTTTCTGCAAGGCGAGCTAAAAAAACAAGGAAAAAAAGAAAGCCAAGCCAAACCAGCCAGAAAGCCAGCCAGCAGCCAAGCCAAACCAGCCAGAAAGCCAGCCAGGAGCCAAGCCAAACCAGCCAGAAAGCCAGCCAGAAAGCCGGCCAGGAGCCACAAACCAGCCAGAAAGCCAGCCAGGAGCCAAGCCAAACCAGCCAGAAAGCCAGCCAGAAAGCCAGCCAGAAGCCAAGCCAAACCAGCCAGAAAGCCAGCCAGAAGCCAAGCCAAACCAGCCAGAAAGCCAGCCAGAAGCCAACCAAAGCCAGCCAGAAAGCCAGCCAGAAGCCAAGCCAAGCCAGCCAGAAGCCAACCAAAAAAGCCAGCCAGGGTTTCCTTTGAGGGGGCTCGCCTTGCAGAAACAAAGGCAGCTGCGGGGCATTTTGCCAAACCGCATATCTAGGGGTCGTTATGTTGCAGCCACGCGCCTGCACAGCGTTTTAGGTTTCGAATCCTTCGCAGGACAAGGTCGTTTCCTGGACGGACGAGTGCTAGGAGCCTGTCAGGTAGAATAGAATCCATTTGGGAAACCCCC